GCACGAACCTGTCCAGCAGCTGTTCAGACAGCCCTTGACGGTCTTGGTAGAAGTGCAAAATTGTACAAAAGGCAGCAATCTCTGCAGGAACCTCCTCTGGTCTGCTGGTGGTGTGGAGCAGCAGTCTGAATCCTGGGTGGCACTCAACCTCATGGTCTGCAACCTGATAAGAAAAACATTAATTTTCTTTTTAGCATAATCATATTTTTGTATGAATATTCAAAAGGGGTAGAGTGATACAGCCATTTTGGTTTGACTCCTTCGTAGCTCAGTTTTAAAGTATTATTTCAAATGTTTTACCTTTTCATTGAATGTTATTTATGCTTTTCGCAGTCACTCAACATACTGTATACCGACTAAAAAACATTGATATACGGCATGAATGAGTGATCTGTAGCAATTCTTAGCAAGAATCAAGCCCAATATAGAGCCAAATGAGATAGAAATTATAAGGTCCTTTTTGTCCTGTGAATGAAGGAACAACTGTCTGTTGCAAAGAAAATTAGATGGTTTGTCACTCTGTGATCTAACACGCAGGACTACCTGTGGGCACGAGCTATTAAACAATGGTTCTTAAAAATACAGATAGAGAGTTACCGTGATTTTAAAAGGGGTTCCCGATCTCACAAACTGCATTCTGGACCGTAGAACAGTGGCAAACCTCTGATCAAGTGCCAGGGCCTTAGGGTCACAGTATGTGAGCAGCAGGGGGAGCCCATCAGTCAGACAAGTGTCCAGCTGGGTCTGGAGCTCCTGCAAGCAGTCACATCACGGCTGGAGTCAGGAATTTACATTTTATTTTGTCTACTGCAGTGCTGTTTGTGCATGTGGTCATTAAGTACAAAACATTCATATGATTACAGAATAAGCACCAAAAGAAACTTTCTTGATTTATAACTGTAACAAATCCTGACAGCAAAGTTATTAGCAGGAAAATTCCAACATCATTTTTATGGCAGGTAAACAGATATGACTGACATTCGCTATGCATCTTGCTATTTATTAATATTGGGGATCTCCATTGAAAGTCGCATGATTATAGCATTGTGGTTACTACTGGAAGCAGAACACGGGTGTGCTATACATGCTTTGAACCAGATTGCAGATGCTGTCTTAAAACTGTTTTATAACACTGAATATAAAGGCTGTAAGGATAAGTACATTGCTGGGAAAAATGAACGGCAAAAAAACGTCACTGCTAGATTTATGCAAAATGCTTGTCTGAGAACTGGTACTGACTAGATCCTCCTTTGTTATTTTTTTCAGTTTTCAGTGAACCTTAGCAGTTTCAATTATTTCATGTAGTATAGGTTTATGATTTAGACAGAAACGGAGGTTTTGTTCATTGGAATTTCATGAAAATTATATGTTGTATAGCACAACCAAGCATTAGCTCAAAATACAACATGGAAGAACAAAATGTAAATTCAGAATTATAGAGTGAAACGTGCCACTTCATATCAATACAGTCAACTCCATAACACACTGGGTGGCTTAGGAAAGAGATTACAAGGTACCTACATGGTATTGGACCTCCATGCAATCTTGGAAGAACAGATTTTTCACCCACTCAATGGACTGAGCCATGGGGTCACAGAGAAGCACCCATGTGTTCTTACACCCGTCGTATTTGAGAACACAAGAGACAAACTCCGTATTCTTGTTTAGGGCTGGTCCTTTTGTTTCAAGTCTCTTAATTTCGGTCTAAGTAAAGGAAAAACACATTTTAGGACATTTCACACTGACAGCAGAGTTATTTTCCTGTAGCCTGATCTTCTCAGATCTCAGAAACTAAGCAAGGCTGGGCTTAGATATTACCAGAATGAGAGACTTCCAAGCAAAACCGGGTTGCTGTTATAAGAGATGTTGGTGGACCAGTAGGTGGCACTCTTTCCTCTTGTCCAGAATTTCCTAATGCCTTCATTTGGTGACAGAGGACACTGTTCTTTAACAGATACTGTTACTGTCTTTCTCACACAGGCCCTCAGTATTAAACAGGTTCTGATGACTTTCTCTTTAAAGATTCCATGGAAATGCAAGCGTATGGGTGTTAAGCCTTGGACTTTAGCACAGATATGAATTACTTCTCTATTTTTTTTTAATAGATGATGAAAGGATGAGCACGTAGAACTGTTCGACTCCACTGGTATTCTATGAAATTTACAAAAATGTTAGCTGCTAAAGAAAACCTTAACAACTTACTGGACTGTTTAGGAAGTTTCTCAAGGTAATGTCACTGAAAAGTAACTTCCTTGGTGGCGAGAGCCCGCCTTCCACACACTTCTGCATGAAAAGCTCTGAAGCTAGGTGCCTGAAATAAGAAATGAAAAGTAAATGTGTTTTTACTTGTTTGGAGTAAATCCGAATTGCATTTTAAATGTTGCATTTCTGGGAAGAGCAGAGTCTGTAATTCTTAATTAAGCATGACATCATCTCCCCACTCCAACATCATAAATACTGTACTTTATCTCCTCTCCCTCGCATTCATCTTTTTCATGCCTCCTCCACCCCATCCCCTCCTCTACAGCTGCCCCTTGGTCACTCCTCACTCCTCATGGAGGTCCTCTGGCCAGGAGGTCAAGCGTGTTAAGCCAAATTATTGTAA